AGCGTTGTTTGTGGTTTGGCAAGGTCAAAGACCAATTCAAAATAATTCGTTATTTCATACCTTTGAATTTGTGCAAGGAAAATCATTGTGAAAATGGACAATATGTGACTTTTTATTTTGGTCAATGATAATCTATGACTTTAGAGGAGTTGATTCAGCCTCAAATCTAGGCACTAAAATCAAATGGAGAAAAAGAGCCTAATATAAAATGTTAAAAATTATAGAAAGTGACCAACGAGTGGTTGGATCAAGTGGTAAGCGGCTTGTTCCAGCTTAAGCAAGGTCTCGAGTTCGAGTCCTTGTGTATGCAGCAGCCCCCGCTGGGAGACTCACCCACCATTTCCAGGTGCGCGACGCGGGTCTGGTCCGGACTAGTCGGGGCGAAGCCCCGGATACCGGGCGGGAAACCAAAAAAAAAACAGAAAGTGAATTTTGTAATGAAATTTGTTGGAATTGTAAATTTTTATGTGTTTGAAAAGAAATTAATATTGAGAAAATTATACAAAAAATTCAAATGGGTCCACATTAAAAAGTTAGGAGAAAATTTTATGGGAAGAAAAGAATGCTTACAGAAATTTTATAGGAAAAAATAAAATCTACTGACAATTTCCCTCAAGAAAAAAAAATATAAACTAAAAATATTAAATTTACTCTTTTATTACAGTATTAAATGTGAAAAATACAAAATATATCCCTGAAATATTCAAGTGGAAAGTTTGCGAGGAATCACCAAGTGTCTGAAACTCTTGAAGAAAGTGAGTGGTAAATAAGAGTTTCCTAGCAGAGACTGCCTTTGCCTTTGATTTATTCATACAGCAAAAATTAAACCAATTACCAAATTGAAATGCCCATATATCTATATTTTTCTACTTCATCCAGCTTCCTGCAACTCTCACTCGAAGTTGATTTGGAATTTAGGCTCCTTGTTTGGATAAAAGAGCCCCCAATATTTCTCGTATTCTGGATTCTTCTGATTCTCATTAAACATTGCAAAAATGTAAGTCTCAATAGGGTTACCGGGCCGCTTCGGAGTGCCAACCTTAACATGCTGAATCACATTGGCAATATAAGTCCTAGCGTTGTCCATGGTCGTTGCCGTTCCCCCATCCGATGGCCACCCTGTCTCGGACACAACAATCTCAACAGACCCGCCACCCGACTTCTCAAGAGCAGAATACATTGCATCCACTATTGCATCAAACAGGTTCTGGTACTGT